AACAGAGCATCCATTTATTGGCAGGCACCGTCAAAGAGCTCACCACGAAAATTTTTGTTGGGACTCTATTTACATTTTAGTTATTAATTAAACCAACTCTTGATAGAATATGTAGGTTTAAAAAAAAAGCCCAGGCTAGGATTTAGCACATTCCTTTTAAGATCTGAAAGCATTTGAAAAGATAATAGGCTATTAACAAAAGTAGGTCTGCCAGAAACGGCTTTGACATCAATTGAGATAAACTATGATCATTGTCAAATAATTTCTTGGAGTAGTTTTTACTTTTTACTTACTCTAATAAGCTTTAGAATAACATTATGAATTCAGGGCCTGATTTCCAGGGGGCGCTGCAGGTGCTTGACACCATAACATCAGGTTGCTGGTCTACAGCTTTTCGGTAGGGCAAATGTTTATTGTTTCTGTTGTTTCTAATAGTGCTTGAAAAATAAGCTGATGTTTCTATTCATTTCCGTGTTTCTGCTTTAGAACCATCAGTGGTGTCACAACAACTCAGGGAATAGTCTTTGCTCATCCGTTCATAGTCCATCTGCTGGCGCCGTAGCAGAAAAGCACAAGGTACTGTAGGCCAGTTTTCAAAGGTCATTCTTAACTCTGCCCACAATATTTAGAAAGGGCAACGGCTTGTGCCTCTGCAACTCACGTTCACCCATGCAAGTGGAGCTCCTTCCCTCAAAAATACATAGTGACTTTTACAGCTGGGAAGTTACCCGGCATAGAAACATGTGCACTCACAAATACAGTCGGTGGGGAGAGGGGGCAATTAAAGAGGCCTTTTGAAAATTTGGCCTTGTAGGGCCTACATAAACTCTGGCTATATTTAAAAATTTCTTTTTGATGGCAGGGAATTAAAAAATTCGTAGAATCCAGAGGCCATTTCTAAGTGGATTGTTACCCTTTGAGGGTAGGTAAAATTTTGGTCATAAGCAGCTTGAAAGCATCTCTTTAATTCAGGGTTTTATCACCTTGCAAAATTGATTTACTTCACTTTATAAGTGCAAAAAAAGTCTTGCCTTGCATTAATTAAAATATTTTTTTCATGAAGAATAATATTCCTCCATCTACTTCCTCTACTATGCAATGATTTGTACAGAGGTCTGTAGTTTTTAATATATGAGGATATTAGCATTTTAGCATCTATTATCACAGTATTTAGTTTCCCAAAATTACTGCAGTTATATTGATGATATAATTGGTAATTTAATTTCTGATTTAACATGCCTATCATATGTCATACCACCATTATTAACAGGCATCGTTGATATTAAACAGCACCAAACCCCACCATGCAACCATTTGTGGCTTCCTCGGAGGCATGATGGGAATGATATATTGCACTCTTCCAATGTACTCATCATTTTATGATAAGCTCAGTTGTCAATCTAGAGTTTTAGTGTCTTTTCAATTTAGAGGAGCTGTAACATTATCTGGCAGATCCAACCTTAGGGCATGTATTGCAGTACAGGTGAAAGAGACTTGGCCCCCATTTGTCCCTTACCCAGAGACTCATAAGTATGTGTATACTGTATATCAACTCAATTCCTGGGGAACGGAATAAGCACGCCATCTTCCACTGAAATCAGTGGCAAACCTCAGTGGGGTCAGATTGAGCTCTAAACCCTTGATACGAAGTCCTTTGAAATAAATTGATGGGGGAGGGGGCTTTTGTTCATTTCATGGGCATTTGGGTCAGGCCCTAAGTCAATAAAATATTCCCCAAACATTTCTATATCCAGTCTGCTCCTAGCTTTCCTGCTGCACCTCTGATACGTGGGAGTCCAGTGAACCCACTGCCAGACATGCCACCCGCAGCCCAGCTGCACTAGGAAATTTACACATTCACCTAACCGAGGCGCAAACCACAACTCTTTTCGTACGGAAGAAAATGGCATCGTCTCCGGGCTTGCTTCCTGGTCTGAGCTATGTTTCCCAAACTTTCTGTCAACATATTCTAGGACAACCCCTTTGACAGGATGAAACAGGAGCCAGCATGTTCACTAGGGGTACTAGACAAATTAGAGGATCGGGGCAAGAGAAAGCTGATGAGGTTCAACAAGGACAAGTGCAGAGTCCTGCACTTATGATGGAAGAATCCCATGCACTGCTACAGACTAGGGACCGAATGGCTAGGCAGCAGTTCTGCAGAAAAGGACCTAGCGGTTACAGTGGACGAGAAGCTGGATATGAGTCAACAGTGTGCCCTTGTTGCCAAGAAGGCCAATGACATTTTGGGCTATATAAGTAGGGGTATTGCCAGCAGAAGGAGGGACGTGATCATTCCCCTCTATTCGACATTGGTGAGGCTTCATCTGGAGTACTGTGTCCAATTTTGGGCCCCACACTACAAGAAGGATGTGGAAAAATTGGAAAACGTCCAGTGGAGGGCAACAAAAATGATTAGGGGACTGGAACACATGACTTATGAGGAGAGGCTGAGGGAACTGGGATTGTTTAGTCTGCAGAAGTGAAGAATGAGGGGGGATTTGATAGCTGCTTTCAACTACCTGAAAGGGGGTTCCAAAGAGGATGCCTCTAGACTGTTCTCAGTGGTAGCAGGTGACATAACAAGGCGCAATGGTCTCAAGTTGCAGTGGGAGAGATTTAGGTTGGATATTAGGAAAAACTTTTCACTAGGAGGGTGGTGAAGCACTGGAATGCGTTACCTAGGGAGGTGGTGGAATCTCCTTCCTTAAAGGTTTTTAAGGTCAGGCTTGACAAAGCCCTGGCTGGGATGATTTAGTTGGGGATTGGTCCTGCTTTGAGCAGGGGGTTGGACTAGATGACGACCTTAGGTCCCTTCCCACCCTGGTATTCTATGAATCTATGATATATATCCCAGGTGTAAGGCACACACCAGATTTTCTTTAGCATCTCTGACTTACTGCAACTTCATTTTCAGTCATGTCCACGAACAGTGACACAATGATTATCACAATTCAATTGTGCAATAATTAAGGTTAAGATTCTGTCATGGGTATTTTTACTAAAAGTCAGGGACAGGCCATGGACAATAAACAAAAATTCATGGAAGCCCGTGACCTGTCCCTGACTTTTACAAAAAATACCCTGCAGGGGCGGGATGGGAGACAACAATCAGTTCTGCTGGGGGCTGACCTCAGGTCTCTGCTCTGGCCCTGCTGCTGCTCCTGCGGCAGGGGCTGACAGCTGGAGCTTCAGCCCCAGTGGGGCTGACTCAACCCTGGCCATTGCTTCAGCCCTGGGGCCGCTGCTTTGGTGGCCCTGGGGCTGACTGCTGCTCCAGCCCTGCCCTGGAAGAAGTCCCGGAGGTCCTGGAAAGTCATGGTATCAGTGACCTCCATGACAGAATCATATCCTTAGCAATAATATAGCAAAAGACACTTATTTACCAATTACCATGGCTAACCATCCCTTGTCTTGGAGATAATGGGTGACCTGTACTGATATAAATGTTTGGCTTCTGATCCTGCTCCTATTAAGAGTCAATGGCAAAGCTTAAATTAGTGTCCGTAGGATTGTGGGCCCTTGAATTCTAAGTGAGTTGCATTTACTAAAACAGAAATTGCTTCATTTACCCTTAAGTTACAGCCAGTACATTCTAGCCATGCACTTTCCACTGATTTTAATGGGTGCCGTGCAGCTGGAATTCAGAGCAAGGCTTTTACAATGCAATGACAACGATCTCATATCGGAAAACCTTCTATAAATATCTGTGTAGTAAAGGATACTGTCATCATCACTGAAGTCAGTGGGAGTTTTGTCTTTGATTTGCAATGAATGTGGGATTGAACCTTATATCTATGGTGTTGCTTACTTTGGGCCGAATACTACAGTCCCCTTACTCAAAATCCCACTGAAGTCAATGGGAGTTTTGCCTGAGTAAGGACTGTAGGATTGGTTCCCTAATCTCCCGTTAATGGCAGAGGCTTTCTAGCTGCCCCTCTATAGACACAAGCACTGTACAGTGCATCCAAAGAGGAGAATGCTAGCTGTTCCAAAAAAACGGTGGGTAAATTAATACTTGGGCTGGTACTTTGCTGGTGGGAGAGGGTGCAATTCCATACTAGGTCTGGAAACACTGACTCTTGTAGTTGCTTTTTTCAGGGAGTTCCTTTATAGGTCTAGAAACATGGATTTGCTGGCACTGTAATTGTATGCCCCGGAGAGGTACAATTAGAAATGAAATCCATAACAAGACAGCTACATGGGCATCTCCAAGGCACCTGTAGGCAGATGTAAGTAATAAGACACCCTCACAGTTCACCACCGAGTGTCTGTGGTATAACAGCATCTTGCTGTGATGCGCAAAACAACAGGCTCCCTGGAGAAGCCTTAGCAAAAAGGCACACAGCAAAGAGTGCTTATTGTCAGCTTTCATTCCCTTGAGGTTCAGGCTTCCTGTCTCCATATTACATGCTGCAGCACATCATCCTGCATATTGTCTGAAAGAAAGTTCCTGAGTAGTCTATCCACACTATACCTTAACTGCTATTTGCAATAATGAATATGGAAGACACAGACAAAGCAATGAATAGCAAATAGAGGACTACAGTAAATAGACATGTTTAAAAGTCCGCTCAAATGAATAGCTTTACACAAGATCATTTCTAAAAAACTATTTCAAATAATGCAACTGGATCATTATAAAGCACTTCAAATCCGTGTGACTTTGGCTAGTTTGTTTTTGTTTTCATCCGCTGGGTGAGATGTGGAAATGCACCCAATCTGTAGGTTAAATTTATAATACTCATGGCAATGCAACACCTCCCTGCTTTTTTCATGTCAGTCACAAGATTTTTTGGTGATCTGATCACTTTGTTTCTGAAAATTAACGCTACAGTTTTTCACTTCCACTGTTCTCCCTCACCCAGCTTCTGAAAACCTCCTGGCCCAGCCTGGACATATTCTGTATAAAATAGAGATATTTGTCATTTCTTGTAGTAAAAAGAACATTTCTTCAATCTGGAGGTAAATACTGATCCATTTTGATGGCTTGATGCTGTAACATGAGTTAAATGGCTGGGAATTGGAGTCATTATTGCTTTGCTTTCATGTCATTTTAAACAAACTAAAGTAGATCCTGAAATTAGTGAGTATCTTATAAAGAAAAGTAATTTGAAAGTATATCCTATAGATAACGTCTATGATTACATATTAAACTCCTAATGATTTCTCTGTGCTTTCAATCCATTCATATTCAATTCTTAAGTATTATAAATTTATACTTTTGATCAATTCCTGCTTAAGGCCACAAATGAAGTTTTTCTTGGTGGTTTTACAGTGTCTTTAAAGTTTTCAACACAGCACCCTAACCCTAACCCTAACCTGATTCAGAGTCAGCCATTAGCAGACATCCTGTTTTATACTGGCTCAGTGCATACGAGCATAGTGTGGGAACAGGCTGCCTACAGTTCTATAGGGTTAGGAAAGCAAATAGACATTAGCTGGCTAACATGTTACAGCCTGAGGTTTCACAAAATTGAGGAATCCGATATGGTTTAATCGGACCCCTTTCTGGTCATGTTCCCCATTTCAGTCTGTGTGTGACGCTCATTGCCATTCTAACCTGGGGGGTTTAGTTGAACAATAGCACTGTCCTGCTTTGCTTTTCAAGTGACTTCATACAACTGTACAGCAGCTGTGGCATGTCACGCAGCGTTTCTTCTTTTTCTTAGGGTGAAAAATGGTGAGGATTGCTTCATCGAAGACTGTTTTAAGGCCTTTCTGTGTCAGGGCTGAACATTCCAAATAACACTGCGCTCCAATCTGAAACAGGAGAGAAAGAGAGAGAGGGGTATCATAAATACACAGTTTGGAGAAGAAGACGATAGGACATGTTTATGACCTACAGATCCTGTTGTCCTCACGTGCACATAACTCCCTGATATGGAGTGAGCCATGCCTTTAAAATGGATTAAAGTCCTAGCTCTACCTTGGGCCTGGCTTTCTCTCTGATCATGGGACTACTACAAGGCCTTGTGGGACAGGAATTGAGAATAGATGCCAGGGCACTGTCTCAGTACAGAAGGAGAAGTGGAGGGAGCAACAGTCTGCCGGTGGGGCTGGCCAGGAAGAGGAAGCGCCATGTATGCCGGCTGAGATTTTGTAGGAACTCTTTCACTGCATAGGGGTTCCTCTGAACAGAAGAAGCTGGATCTCCTGGGTTTCCAGGAGGCATTGCATGGATCTCAGAGTTTCCAGGAGGCATTGGCTCGGGTGCTCCCTGGCAGTGTGGTTGAGTCACTTAACATAACTATCCTTAGCTCCCCTTCCATGCTCTTGGCCTACCCTATCAAACTCCACAGAGATGAAGCCATTGCAGAGGCGCGTCTACAGGCTCAGGGTGATTGACGGGGGCATGCCACTGAGTCAAAAATATCCTCCCGTTCTGTGGGCACTTGCACACATGCAGAGTGGACCTTGAGCCTGCCCATGGAAATGAATATGGATAAATGCAATTCCTCCTGCTTTTAAGCTCTGCTTGGCCTTTTAGAACCCTCTGACTAAATATCAGCATAACCAATATGTGCAGTGACTAGTTGGAACGTGCTCGTGTCTGAATGCAGATGTTGCTGGCATTGACGTACGTACGTATTTCATGTTCATTTCTCCATCCCTTCTCCTTACCCAGAGCAATTATACATTATGAACTGAAAAGAAGATCCCATAAAATAGAGGGCTATGGGCCTGAGTCTCATTTACAGTAAGGCCCCTGTACGTAGCTGTGTAAAGTGGCCTCAAGTGTCTAAATGAGAATCAGGCCGGATGTGTTTGTATGGGAGTGACTAAGAGTAGAATTTGTCCCATCATGATTAGCCCATGTAGCACCAGAGAGAATACATTTGAGCTTGTTATTTTAGACGAGCTTTTGTATCCATCTCCTATATATGAGTCTTAGCTAAAAAGCTGGATCCAAACACACTGAAACTTTGGGAGAGCTCCAGTCCAGATGAGAACTTTCCAGCTCATTCCCATCTCTGCAGCCTAAATGCAGCTTCTGTAGGTTACGATTCATTTTTTTTTCCCAGTGACTAATGTTACTCTGCCAAACACAGATGTAACATTTTCTCCCAGGAGAATCATAGAATGTCTTTATAGGTTAATATAAATGAATAACATCCACAATGTACAGTTTGTTTTAACAGGATGTGTAAAACAACCTGTTATGTATCCATTTTGTTATGACCAAATATGGTAAAATGTTGCAGTGGCTGATCCTAAATCAAACCTAAAAACATTAGATGTTTCATTACATTCAGATGTCTCATGTATGGAGTATGCTTGTTATATACCAGAGATTTATTAGTGGGATTGCAGAACAATCAAGGTAAGACTAGAGACAGGCTTAAAGGTGCAAAATCCAGTGTGTTTGGAGTTGAAGTTTTAGTTTGGGCCCAAGTTAGTGAAAATGGAGGAAAAAATGAAAGCATTGGATTTGAGTGAAATATACAGAAACTAAAGTTATGGCCAAACTATCCTGCAGCCTGGGTCCTAACAATAGAGTCATGCAAAACAACGATACCTCTTTAGCCAGCTTCACTCCATGTTCGTAAGTGAGGGGTTTCTCCTTCATATAAAGTAGTCGAGCCAAAGTTTTGGGATCATCACGAAGATCAATCTAGCAGTAAAACACACACACACAGTGATAAATACAACATTCCTGTGGATGCGTTGTCTCCACAGCCCCATGCTAGAATGAATATTTCAAGGACACTCCCATTTATCCCCTATTAGAGAGACCTTTTTTTTTAAAAAAAAGTGGTTCATAATGTATTTCTCTCTCTCTCACTGTGTGTGTGTACGTGCATGTGGCCTCAATGTCTCCATTCTAGTTTCTGGTCAAAGCAGAAAAGAGAGAAAACAAGATATTGTGTAAGAGTCTTATGGGATTAATTCTATCTATTAGAGCTGTTTGGGAATTTTCCATCAATGTTTTTGGATGGAAAATGCAATTTCTGCAAAACTGAAATTTTCCTGAGGAAAATGTTGATTTTGCAGATTTTGTTTTGATTCTCCGTTAAAATTAAGTATTTAGTTCTGGGTCAGTTTGCCCCAAGTGAAACATTTTGGTTTGTTGAACTGAAACAAAACATTTAATTGTGGGTCACTTTTATATTAATCTCTGACTGCCTCAACTGCAGTTGTTGTTTTTTTTTAAAGAGAATATGAGTTTTTATGCCATAGTACAGATGGACTAAGTAGCATATTGATTGTCCAGTGAAATGCTATTCTGCAAAACTGCCTCCAAAAGATCTTGGTATAAAGGATCGAACGTATTTCTAACTCACCATTATTTGCAGCACCCTTTTAGAAGTTTGAAAAATGTTTTCCTCATTTGGCAAACCTTGATTTTTCTCCAAATATTTTTATAGGCTATACAAAATTTTTATATTTTTATACACCTTCAGCTCCCACCAAAGGGTGTTCAGTGCTTCTCAGGAGATGCTTGGCACCTTGCAGGATTAGACCCTCCACAAAGAGTGTGTGTGTGTGAGAGCTAGCTGTTGCTGCAGAACTGGCCTAGCTGAATCTCATAAATGTTTTGGCAACAGAGTGATTGATTTTAAAAACACAGCTCTGCAGAATGTATCCACCTTAATGTGACCATTTGACAGTAGGTCAGAGCTTATGCTTATGCCATTTAGCAGGAGGGACCCTCTGAGTTGGGGATGTCCGATGGAGGAAGGTTACGACAACCAAAAATACAGGTCTGAACTGGTGGTCATGTGCCTACTACTCTGCTCCGCAGCTTGAGAGAGAATAACAATAATAATTGTTCTGGGTTGGTTCAGTCTCTTTCTCCCAAGAAGGGGAGATCCTTCCTTTGGGAGAGATGTTAAACCTCATGCTTCAGGGCCTAAGTCTATCTCCAACTAGTAGGGATCAGGTGTGGTGTCTATCTCCACAGGTGTCTATCTCCAACTATTAGGGACTGAATGTGGTGGGTAGATTATCCCACATCTGTGTCATGGCCCACAGGGCTCAAACCCAGAGCCACAGGATTCACAGGAGCAGCCATGCTTCAACCCTCCTCTTGGTAGCCTGCTGACAGTTGCTTACCCAGGACCCATGAGGCCCAGCCCCAGTTTGAGGATCCTCCTCTGAGGTCCTATTGGTGGAGCCACAGAGCAGCCGATTGGCCTGCTGACCCTACTTAAGCCAGCAACAGGAACAGGAAGCTGTCTGAACAACTGGGATCCAGCCTGCTCTGGACTGTGTGCTTCCTGCTCCTGTGGGTTGGCTTCCTGGCATCCTGACCTGGCTTAGCTCCTGACCTCTGACTTGTGGTTCTGATCTCTGGTTTGTCTCCTGCCTCTGACACCCTGGTATCCTGACCCACTTGACTCTTGGCTCCTGACTGAGGATTCTGGCTCTGATCACTAGGTCTGGCTGCCCATGACCTGGCTTTGCCAATCTGCTTACTCTGTAGTTCTTACACCTTCCTCTGAAACAACTGGTGCTGGCCACTGTCAGAGACATGATACTGGACTGGATGGATCATGGGTCTTATGAACTCTGACAATCCCTAGGTAAACACTGGGGGAAGAAAGTGCTCTCAGCAGGGTTGGCTGGTCTTGAGGGAGCTGCGTTGGCTCTAAAGAGTTTGTTAATCCTCGTTGGCTCAAGGAAGGCTATTCAGGGGGTGAACTTTGGGGGATGTAATATGGGAATGGCTCCCCCACTCCAGAAAAATATAATGAATTTAAAGCTCCGTTAAAATCACAGTGATATTGAGAAGCCCCTAACACAGAATATGGGTACACTGGAGTGTAATTTCCTGCATGGGTAGACATAGGAGTGGTAGCTCTGATCAAGCTAGTACATGGGAAATAGAAGTGCAGCCGAGGCAGTGTGAGTAGTGAGGCGGACTCGCCAGCCTAAGTATGTATCTAGGGGTTCAGATGGGATTGTATTTGAGTTGCTAGCCCATACTGCTGCTTGCGCTGCTATTTTTAATGTGTTGGCTCGATCGGAGCTTGTCTGGGTATGTCTTCTTGACCTGGGAATTATACCTCCTGTTCCAGTGTAGACATACCCACAGAGTGACCATTCAGAGGGTTGGGCAACTAGATGCATTATGCTTTCATGGGGCTTGGGGAAGCCTGCTTGTTTCAGTTCATGTGAGTTGCAGCCCCTGAGTTTTGCTCTGAGTTGTAAGTTTGGTATCCGGTCTGCCAGAATGGAAGCAGGTGTGTGCAGAACAGCAGAGTTTTCAGGGGACCCCGGGAATGCACTCAAACCTCAATCCGGGTAAGTTCCAGCTGGCTTTGAGGTTTCACAAGGCCCGCCTGGCTGTAGAGTTCCAGACCCCTTGTGCTGGCCAATAGGCTTCCCAGTTAGTAGCTACCTGTGTTCCTATGAGCACATAAGGCACATGCGGCATGCTGACTTTCAGTTCAGGCACCCACTCTTCCTGGACATTGTGGTAAGAGGCAGGGTTCACCACAGAAAAACAGATCAAGAACACATCCGTGTTGGGATAGGAGAGGGGTCTCAGCTGATTGTAGTCCTCCTGTCAGAGAGCAAAGGCAGGTGTTAGCAATGGGTCACACAGGCTGCGTAACCACACATCTGCAAGCACTTTATGAGTTGCCCAACATTGTCACTGAATGTCAGTAAGTGCTGATAAATTCCAGGGGGTAGAATGACCACTGCAAAGGGGCGGCAGAGGTATCCCACAGCTGGGTCAGTCTCTGAACCCCCTTTTACCTGGGCTTTGCGCAGACAGGTAGCAGGGTGGGTATTCTGTTTTCATAGTGACTCCAGTGTACAAGGGAGATAAGATGAACAGGGGCTGCCTGTAATGCCATTGAACACTAAAAGAAAAAATACCTTGGGGTAAAAACAGATCTTTAGGTTGTGCATATTAGCCTCAGCCTTCAATATACCATAATCCCACGAATTATTATTTGACTGCCATTGTCCTTGGCGCCAGATAACATCTCTAGTCTAGAGGACATTCACGCCGTGCGTTTTACAGTAAGTGTTATGTGCAGGGTGTATAAAACCTCATAAATGCTACAGACATCACCATACACAACAAAAATGGACCTTTGGGCTGTTCAGTTACATCACGCTATCTCCAGTGCCACATCAATCAGAACGAGCAACTCTTGTCCTGGAAATGTAGCGGCAGCTTGGATCCAGTTTGTGACTCAAGGTGGTCTGAGATTTCCATGGGCCCCTGTCTTGTGAGAAGAGATTTCACCTTGCCCCCCAGGCTGTGCAGAGAGCAGTGTTCAGTTACCTCAAAGCACAAACATTCCATGTAGTTAGCTGATTTGATAACAGGGAAGCTTGTTAGAAGGACAAATTTGGGTCCCTTCCCAGTCTCGAGAGTTGGATTTTGCAATCCATGCGAAGTAGATCAATGGATCTGGAGTAACAGCATATGGAACCTCACAGGCCCATTCTTGGACAAGTGAAATTCATATCGGAGATGCTGGGTGGAAGCTAGCCTTTCCTAATTTTCCTGCAAGTGGTTCAAAAATTACTTGTAAAGTTACCTGTTTCCCTCACCAAATGTATAAAAACATGGCATGGGAACAAATGATCTCACCCTATGGCAGGGCTGGATTAAGGCACAGGCAATATCAGCCCGTGCCTAGGGCCCCAGCACCTGGAGTCATGTGATTATATCAGAATTTGAGTCATGTAAGTTCTCATGGTTGTGAAGAAAAGCTTGAAAATATGAATTGAATGTAACTGAGGCCGAGATATCTGCCTGGGGGCTTGGCTGCACGTACAACGCTGCAGCTGCACAGCTGCAGTGCTTAGTGAAGACACTACCTGCACCGACAGGAGAGTTTCTCCCGTCCATGTAGTTAATCCACCTCCCTGAGAGGCGGTAGCTGTGTCCATGGAGAAGCCCTCCTGTCGACACAGCATTGTCTAGGGAGGGGTTAGGTTGGTTATAACTGCTTAGTTGCTATTGTAGACTAAGCCTTAGTCTGCAGACAGCCTGAAGGAATAGCTCTGAGAGGTGTGAACTGCCCCATGCATCTTGTACCACCCAGACTGAGGGCTCTGCATGGGGCAGGACTGGAGAAGGAGAATGCAGAGGGGTCTGGTTGACCAAGATATCTCAGCTGCTGCAGTAAGTACTGGGACCCTCCCCGCCCCTCGCAAATACTGCCACTCCTGTCTCTGTGGGTCAGAGAGGGTATCCCTGTTGCTCCCAAGGAGAGGGGGTCCCAGCTGCCATTCTTTGGGTGGTGGAGGCAAAAGGGTCCCATGCTGCTGCCCCGTCTCTGGGGTGGGGGGGGGGGGGAATCTGTCACTGCCACTCCAGTGGGGGCAGGGCTGCAGGGGGTGGGGAGGGGGCTCCCCAGGACATCATCTTGCCTTAATCCAGCCCTGCGCTCCTCCTCAGCCCATGTTGATTGCGTCAGCAAACACAAGGATTCATTACTAGGAGAGCTTGTCAGGCCGTGCTAGGAATTGAATTAACCACCGAGGCATCAACCATGACACTACAGTCAGCGTAGACAAAGACAAGGTGTGTTCACCATCCTGTCAGCTGGTCATGGCTAAACCCTGGCATCAGTAGCTTTTACCCCTGACTATCTGACGTAACATCATGAAGGATGGTCCCTGTCTATGTTGACTGGAAATCTCATGTTTCCTCCGCCCTGCACTTTTTCCATCAAAACTTCATTTTGACAATAATTTTCAGACCAGCTCGCGTCAGAGGGCGTTGTCACTCGTGAATCCTTGCGAGGCCTGACTCTGACTATTCACTCATGTTATTTATCCATGACTTCTCCTCCTGTGTGTGTGTATTATTGGGTGTGTGTGTACAGGAGGGTGTTAACTTGTTTCCCTTTCAAAGCCAGAGTAATGGGACTTTGTCAGCCAACCCCAAAGGCATGGAGGAAATCCGCTCCCTCCATTCTGGGCACTGGCTGTGGGGTTGCAGTGCAGCCCTAGTGTGGATGGTGTTAGTCTGTGGGTGTAGTTAGTGGTGGCTGGCCCTCTGGATCACTGCTGAGGATTTTTGAGTCATTGGATTGGCATAGGTGGTAGCTCCAGCAGCTCCTGGCCTAGCTCATACCTGGCAACCCTCATCTGATGTGGTCTTCCCTGGCTCACAGGGAGTAGAGCTAGCTGTAGCACAGAAACCTCAGTGGAAATGTTCTGCTGCGCCAGGACTGAAGCCTGGGCCATCTTTAATTAGCTGAAATATTTTCATTATTTATATCACGGGAGTGCCCAAACTGTGCAGGGTCATCCATTGCTCGGTGTGGTGCCGTGTGTCCCTCTGCACGTAGATTGTGAGGCTGTTCCAGGGGTTAGCTACACTGCCAACCCGTCATCTTAAAATGCGCAGGCTTAAGCTTTCCGTGCTGGAGGCTTCCGGTTCAATCCCTGGTATCAGCCAAGGTGGTGGCCATCACGTATGCACTGCACCAAGGCAAAGGAAAACAAAGTTTCTATCCTGAAAGATAAAGAGTGGGGTAATGGGCTGCCATGTTCTAGCAGGCTTGGCAGGACGCTGGCTGGCCCAAGTGCTGCTAGTACCCCTTCACCACTGGCTTTTTAAAAAAAGTATAACCAATCCCCAGCTGCTTCCCTACCTGGTATTATTAACTGTATTTTGTAGGGGTCAAAGCAGATGTGGGTCTCGAGAAGGGATTGATTGGTGAAAAGGAAATGGCCTGTCTTATCAGCTCAGGGAGGATGTTCCGTGTACAGGGATTAGCATGGAAGAAAATGCAAAGACACTTGTGGGAGAATCAGCTAAAGGAGGTCACACCACCGCTGGTGGAGCAGAGAGCATGATGTGACTGACCAGAGACACAGCAGGGATGGACGGACATATGCTTGAGGATGACAAGAAGCTTCCACTTGATACAGTGGAGGGCCGTTATCTGATTAATGGAACAATTAGGTAATCTTGGCAGCTGGGTTTTGTGTGGGATAATGTGAGTGTCAGACGCTTGGCCTCATGCCAACCCTACTACCTGGTATTTTAACCAGTGAAATCATATACATCCAGAACATTAAAGCTGATGACTTCTCCCAGGGTAAACACACTTATCCACAATCACCATGGGCTGGTACTGGGAGCTGCTTGGCAATTGACTTTTTAAACACTTTTGGTTTATTTGTTCCAAAACAGATCTTTGGGATAACCACAAGATGGCACCAGATACTCTATGTATCTTTTTTTTATTTGGGACCTTGGAAATCAGTTGGCTAAATATATCTGTTTTAAAAATTCAAGACTTGCCTATTTAGAGGGGTTGAAACTTAGTGTGCTGTTAAAAATCACAGACTAAAAGCTATGAACATTCTGCATAACGGTGACAGGTCCTTTCAGCAGGTTCATTTAATTTGATTTTGCTTGTCACTTTGGAGCTTATGAGGACTGTTTGTTCTCATTTTGTGGTTGCAGCATGGGACATTATATAAGCAATAGGTCAGAAGAGAAAGGATATCTACAGCTTACACACAAGGATCTAGTCTCCTATCAATACATACTAGTAGCTCAGGATGACACTGACAAGCATGGGAGTTATGCTTTCATATCAAGGGAACAGTAGATCTAGGGCTTCCATGTTATCCAACTCCCTGGGACCATAGGAATTGCCATACTAGATCAGATTTGTATTCGGAATCTGACAGGGCCCACTATCAGCTGCTCATGGGGCAGGTGGAAGAAAATCTGTAATGAACCATTGGGATCACCTGCCCATTGGCTAGCTTTGGATTGCTGCAGGAAGTCACTGAGGCCAAGAATTTTACAAGATTCAAAAAAGGGATTGGGCATTTAGCTGGATATGGGAAATATCCAGAGTTGTTGTTTTTAATAACAAATTTGGGAAGGGATATTAAAGCTTGTGTGTTGGGGCTTTTGCTGATCTCTAACTATTTGAGATCAGGATTAGACTTTTATGGGGTCTAGAATACCTCACAGGCATCTGGGGCTGGCCACTGTCAGAGGCAGGATCCTGGACTAGACAGATCTTGGGTCTGATCCAGACTGGCAAGTCCTATGTTTCTGTGCTCCCAGCTGGCCATTGACTTTGTGCCCTAAAGCATGGGGCATATCAAAATGATTTTATCCCAGCTAAAGTAACAGTGGATGCACTCATTAGCCGTACACATAACTAGTACAGTTGTCCAGATCTTTTCCCCACACTGTGCCCTCCAAGGGGCAGCCCCATCCCTCACCCCCAGTGAGGCTACAGTGAGGGGCAGCAGTGGGGGAGGGGGGAGGCGCACACATGATGGCAGTCTCCCCCCCCAGCACCCACCACAGGGGAAGTGAGGGGGCTTCCTGAACCTGAGAAGGGCCCTAGGAGCACGTGCAGTGATAGTGGTGTGGGGTGAATGTGCTGTGGGGGGGGGGGCAGGGGGAGATGGAGGGCCCCTCCCCCAGAGCTCTCTGCTGCTGGTGGGGAGAGGGCTGAGGGGAGTCCTCCTTTCTGGCCCCAGCCCTGGGGAAGCCTGCCTGCACCCCAAACTCATCCCCAGCCCTGCCCCACCCCAGAGCCTGCACCCCCAGCC